CACGTTGGCGGTGTTGAAGAAAGTCTGAGCGTGAGCCGCCAGCAACATGAACAAGCACACCACCGCGACCGGCGGCCTCTCCACCAATCCGGTGACAGCAGCCCACAGGAAGAAGTACCCCACGAAGCACTGGATTGCCCCCACCAGAAGCACCACCCAGGGCCCACCAATTCGGCGACGGTTAAGCGCCACAGCGGAGTACAAAATTCCCGATAAGACGCCGACGTTGCCGCCTATGTCTTTGAAGACGGACACCGTGTCGAGCGTTGATTGGTCGTAGCCCTGGCTCGACTTGATCGCCGGGGAGTAGATGCTGAAGGCGTAGGGAGAGCCGCCGGTGTACTGGATCAATATGCTCGCCGCCGTGGCTGTCCACTTGCTGCTGCTCAGCCTTTCCATCTCTGCCAGTTTTTTGGCTGTCACCTTCTTCTTTTGAAGAAATGAAATTTGTGCAATAAACCTCGAATTTTTATGGCGAATTTCCGAATTTGGTGTGCAATAAACCTCGAATTTTCAAGATTACCATCACACTTCGTCACATCCTATTTTCAGACGAAAAAAAAAAATTACCTTTATCATATTTTTTATACAACGTTTATACTACCTCTTTAATAAACGTGAGGCCCACTCATTACGGAACACTCTCACAGATCAGGGAGAGTGAAGATGTCTAAAACGCTGGCTACACACATGCATGGAGATCTACACCGACTCTCCTCCACCTCTCGCCAACCAAATCGTTAAGAAATCCTCAAAAGACCGTCACATGTATAAACATTTCTCTGACCTCGGGAAGGCTCAACGGCCACCGGGTGGATCCGCTCCTGATTAGAGTGTAAAGCCAACTACAAACACACTTTCAATGTTTTATAATAGATAGCATGTCGTCACCGTATGGCATCTTCTCAATTATTATGCTCTCAGAATAGACTTCACTAAGTACTACGGTTTGATGGTTTAGTCGAACTTCTCATTTTCTTAGTGTAAAAATATCGATGTACTTAAAAAAATAAAAAATAAAAATAAAATAAAAGAACAGATGCCACTTTAATAAATATGTTGGTGTGCTAGGACCAGGATGCATTGTGCTGTTGGACTTATTTTGTTTGTTCGAGCTGTGCTTGAGTAAGTCGTCTATGTTCGGGTGAGCAAGTTCTCGCAACTTGTTCACTTGATTATGATTTATGATCCTAAGAATTTATCTATTTCTTTTTTTGTATTGCTTATTTTCAATTCAATTATATTCTACATTTGAAATGAGAGATTTGATTATGTCACACAATGAACTATTCATAGGAATTAAATTTTGATTTAACTATCTAATTGAGTAAACCTAAGCAGACACGTTACAAGTAAAATGATAAAAAAAAATAACATCAAACTGTAGTGCCGTTCGTGAATTAAAAACTGAGTTTCTTTAAGTTCCACATTTATAACATAGTGGGGGCCAATACGGCTTTGGGCTCACTTTTTAAGCTTTTCACCTTTGGATATCATTCTAAATTTGTTATGGTCCAAAACCTTTTATTTTTGTATGGGTAATTGAATGATTATATTAAAAGAGAATCAAAAGAAACAACAAACTACAACACAATAATGGCAACAAAAGCTAAGCTAAAATAAACAAAAAAAAGCAGGAGGTTGTAAAAATCAACAATAACCCAACATAATAACCAGCACCAAAAGGAGAACTACATAGGAATTCTTCATTCTTGAAAAATAGGTACATCTACAGTAGAAACCGAAATCTACAAAGAACATAACCGTAAGCGTATAGAGTTAACAATGGCTTTAAAGGTAACAAAAGAGTGGAGAGATGTTCATTTATGAATTTACGGTTATTCTTTTCTTTCCAAATAGCATAGACAACAACTTGTAAGCACAACTTCTTAATGCAAAGATCTAACGACTTACTTGTCAAATTATTAGCAGCCCAAGCGATAAACTCATACCAATCCAAAGGAGGAGGATCACAACCACACTTAAAAAACACATGAGACCAAATATTGGTACTATGATTGTGAGACTCATTATCGGTCAAGCAAAGATAGCAAATAGGCGAGGCATGAGGGGTAAAGACCATCACCTGATCCATATTACATAACTTACCCCTTATCGCTAGCCGAAGAATGAAGCTTCACCTTGGGATGTGCTTACCAAACCAAAAAAGACCAGCCCATAGGACCTTCGGATGAGACAGTGGTATCAAATTTAATAAGTTTTTTATTTTCAATGTTAATTAAACGTCTCAAACATATGCAGATTTGAACTTAATTAAATTGGCTAGAATATAATATTTTTTCATCTCCGCTCAAATTTGAATTTTCATCCACATGACTTAGATGAGTACTTTATAGAAAATAGCTTGTATGAAAAAACAACTCAAACGTAAAGAGCTTTTGGCTTCATGATACTCGTGTTTATTTAATTAGAAAATGTGTCAAGTTCAATATACATTAACACGAAAATGATGGAGGTTTATGATATGCTTGGTACCATTTGTGCTGGAGCGGATTCACTTTGGCCCAAGGTGGGTTAGTTGATCATTCCAACCTCAGAAATCCTCTATGGAAAAGTTTTGTGCTGCCTTTTGAAATCTTTTGGGCTGTCCTTGAAAACTATCCTCTAACTACTCGATAAATTGTCTCTATAGACATTGGTATGGTAACTGGTAACTTTATGCCTTTGTATGCATTGATATGGGCATTTTTTATAAGCTTACTTGACATATGTTGGCATTTGTCGGCATGCTCACTCAAAGCTATTGACATCAGTCGACATGTTTGTTTAGAAGTTATTGGCATTCTGTTGACTGGTGTGCAATCTAACTTGACAAATGACCTTAGGCTTACAGGTAATGCTATGAGACCAAATTTTAAAACCAAATAGTGTAAACCAAATGATATGGTTGTTGGTGATTAGATTATTAATTAACTGTCAATTAACATGCATAGTTTCTATTAGTAACACATCATTTGATTTACAAATTTAATTTAAAAATTTAGTCTTTCTAACATTATCCTTCTTATAAAACCCCCATAATATTACTCAGATGATTGGATTTGCCACTGCATTTGTGACCATCCTTTCATCCTTTTGTGTTGTTAAAAACAATTAAACGTTTATATTTTGATTAATACGATTACTAATTATTCATTTTAACCATGATTATTGATGTTAATTCATGAATTTGTACTTTGAGTAAATTGTAGTAATTGTCCCTTAACTTTAACTTAATTGAAGCAATGATCCTTCAACTAAAAATTCATTACCATTGGTCCCCCAACCCATCAAAACATGCAGCTATCGTCATTTAACTAAAAATTCATTACCATTGGTCCTTCAACTTTAATCCAACTGAAGAAATGGTCCTTCAACCTTAACCCAATTGGAGCAATGGTCCATCGACTTTAACCCAATTGTTGCAATAGTCCTTCAACTTTAACTCAATTGTAGCAATGGTCTTTACAACATAACTCATTTTGACAAAATTCTAACGAATTTGACGAAAATGAGCATAGCTACACGTTTTGATGAGTTGAGAAACCCTAATTTTAACAATGATCTTTCCAACATAATTTATTTTGACAAAATTTTGACGAAGTTGACGAAAATGACTATACCTAGTTTAGGGAACAATGGTAATGAATTTTTAATTACATGATTATTGCTTTAATTTGATTAAAATTAAGAGATCATTGTTACAATTTACTTTTGTAGTTTGGCTTTTCATCATCGAGAAAAGTCGGGGTCGCCGTGGCGCCAAAAGCTGAGGCGGGAACGTGCAGACACATGGAAGCCACACGCCGGAGGCATTGACGCACGTGCACATCTGGACAAAAGGATTTGTAACTTCGACGGTTGACCAGCCGCACGTGACGACAATCCCCGCACCGAAACGCAGCGTTTAACTCCACAAGAAGACGGAGCCAGAAGCAGGACGGCGTGAAGAAGGCCGTTCGGCCCACCCCTGTCAAACTGATCTAATTACGATTAAACAATTGGAGGGCAGGATTCAGCGGTTGGAGGGTGAGGTTGTCAAAGCCACCCACTTTGGACTCTTGTAACGGGAAATATGTACACAAAAATGGAGACAAATAAAAACTTGTATCTTTTTCAATAAATAAAATCATCCGTTGATGCTTTCATCACGGTAATCTATTTTTTTAAGAGCAGGAAAGAGTTATAAAGTCATTTCAACTTTCCTTTTATTATCATTGTGATATTCGTGAACGCCAGTACTAGAGTAGGGTAGTTGAGATAGTAGTGTCAAAATATTATTGTCTAATTGTAAACTATAGAAAATTTATGGTGTTCAGAAGTATAAAATATTTTGAGTTTTAACTGTTAAATTTTGATTTTTGTGTTGTTGACTAAAGATCTAAACAGCTAAAAACTTTGCAAAACATCTAATATTTTGTAGCAAAAAATTCTCATACATTATCAAGAGTTTGACTTTTATACATAGTATTAGCAATATTGTCAATTACGCATTGTCATGTGTTTAGCTTTTATACGTAGCAATATGTTATTCAATTAAAATAGAGAAGTGATTTTTTCACATTCACTCTCTCATTTTACGTTATTGTTTTATTAAACATATAACTGATGCTCTTGTATAGTGTTACAAAGCAGTTAAGTACCAAAGGCATCACAAATCAATTAAGCATATGTATCATTAAAGCCAAATTCGAGTATTTGATAACCCAAACTCGAGCAAGATAGGGAAACAATAACATCCCTAACTGTAAGAGAAATTTTTTAATGTGCCGGACACATGATTCATTACAACAAGAGTTATAATACATCATATGGTTGGGTGGAATGACAAAAAGGCCCACAACTTTTTTTCCCGCGTGTTTTCCAGTCTCCGGTTGGCGCGCTTGTGGTTGGTATACTATGCAGCATTGGGCCTTCAGTACGACGTCGCAATCACCGGCCGTGGGGAAAAGTACTAAATAAAAAATTCACAAAATTTAAATTTTAAAAAATAAAATAAATTTGAATGTGTGTGTGATGGCTGGGGAACGGAGAGAGAGAGAGGAGAGAGAGGGAGGAGTCTTGTGGGAGCCTTCAAAACCAGAGTGCTTAAAATCCCAAGACCTTCGCAATGACGAACTTCCCTTTCTCTCTCTCAACCTTCATGGTTCTTGAACGACGTCGTCGTCTCACGGTGGATGGGCGGCGACGACGAATCTCCCCAATGCCTCCTCCTCCCTTCGCAAAACGATGCCCAGCCGGAGTCCTCCGCATCCGCGACACGTGTCCCGCTAGCTCAGACGCCGATCCTCCTGCTCGTCTGCTTCCACAAGGCGCTGCTGGCCGAGCTCCTCGATCTCCGCCTCGTGACCACCGCCGCCTTGGAGAGTGGCTCACGTGACCGCCTAGACCGCGACTTCGTTCTCCTGCTTCTGCGGCGGTTTGAGTTCCTCAAGCTCGCGTATGAGTACCACTGCTCTTCAGAGGACGAGGTCAGCTCAAAGTTTCCGAATTGATGAACAGTTCCTAATTTTTCGTAATTTAACTAATTAAATCAAATTCTTTAAAGCTGAATTCTTTAGTTCCGAATTAGCTAATTGTTTCTAATTTCTAATTAGAAATTAGAATTGCATAATTTGATTGTTTTAAAGATGAAAACATTAGTCAAATTTTGATTAGTTAAAATGTGAGAAGCTGCATTAAATGTGCAATGGAATTTGAATTTGAATTTTTAATTTCGTTGGCAGATAATCTTTTTAGCGTTAGATGGGCGAACAAAAAATGTAGCTAGTACATATTCACTAGAACATAGGAGTATAGACGGTCTCTTCGACTCGATTTTCAATCGCTTGGATGTTTTGTTAGAGGAAAACGAGAATGAGAATTTTCCCAAGCAATTTCAAGAACTTGTGTTTGGCATCGGGACACTGAAGGAATTCGTTTCCCAGCATATGCTGAAAGAAGAACAGCAGGTACTAGCCGAAATCTTTATTGAAGCAGATTCGAAATGTTATTTGCAACAATGTAGTTTGAGTAAATATTTGATTGTATTGCTTTGCGTTACCGAATTTTGAGTGTGTGTGTTGCAGGTTTTTCCCTTGATCCTGCAGCAGTTCTGTCGCGAAGAACAGGCTGCACTTGTGTGGCAGTTCATGTGTAGTGTTCCTTTATTGCTGCTTGAGGATCTACTTCCGTGGACGATCTCCTTTCTTCCACCTGATGAACAAGAGGAAGTTAGACATTGCATAAAAGCAATTGTACCTGATGAAAAATCACTTCAAGAGGTAGATCCTGACCGATGGTATTACCCTAGTATGAACGAACTTCTTGGTAGTTACTAGTTTAAATATTTGTGAAGGTGGTAAATTCTTGGCTTGCTAGCAATGAACAATCCTCCTTTGGGGCCTCCAAGAATTCTAGAGGAGCTCAACAAGCCGGCGAATATGCAGACATGAAAAAGTTACTGACGTCTCATTCGCCCAAAAGGTTTTTAGAAGAACATAAAAGACACATTAAGGCAGATTGCATCCACTCTGATATTGGATACAATCCGGTTGATGGCCTTCCTCTTTGGCATGGAGTCATTAGGAAAGATTTGACGACAATTCTGGAGGAGCTATATCAAATAAGAAGCGCAAGCAGTTTTTTGAATCTTGATTCAGTAGTTGTCCAGCTAAAATTCTTTGTAGATGTCCTTAATTTCTACAGGTAATTAATGTGGTTGTTGACGTCCATATGTGCTTTTTTCTGTTCAGTTAATTAATTCTTCAGCGAATATTTTCCGATTTGCTGCAGTGCATTGGAGAAGTTATATCATCCTGTGTTGAATGAACTTTTCAACGGCTGCCTTTACCCCTACAGTGAACAATTTCCAAATGAAAACCACGTTGAAGGTTTGCAGAGGTTGCTATACTATGAGCCTCAAGATGGAACACCTTTGAGCAAATTTGTTGAGAAGCTTTGCTGGGAACTGGAGTCTTATGTGGTGGGAATTAACAAGTACTTTGCTTTCCAAGAAACCAAGGTACTCTATGTTTGTTGAAGATTATTATAAATTGAAATATCAGCACGCTAGGCTCTCTTTCTGATGATATAGGGCATCTAGTTTAACTCTACTCTTGATGAAAAACTTCGAGAATTCTTTGTGGGGCAATATGCTACTAAATAATCATTAATCATTAAAAAAATATTTTCTATATTGACTGCAAATTAACATCTACAGTTTGTACCAGGTAGTTCCCATTGTAAGGAAGAATTGCAGTCATGATATGCAGCTGCAACTCTTGTATGCGAGCCTTCATATTCTGCCACTTGGGATGCTAAAGTGCATGACTACTTGGTTTTCGTCTTGCTTATCTGAGGACGAATCCAGGTCCATCCTTAGCAACTTGAAGGAGGGAGATTCTTTAATCAATAAATCATTTGCATCCCTCTTACATGAGTGGTTCCGCATTGGTCATTCAGGTAAGACCTCTGTTGAAAAGTTTCGTGAGGAGTTGCAGCAAATATTCAAGAGCAGATGCACTTCCTTAAAGCAATTCTATAATACTAGTGGATCTTCCTCCTTAAGTTCCATTATGAAACCTATTGAGGCATCAAACACTAAGCTAATGGAGCTAATCTCTTCAGATAAGGGCAAGAATTCTCTGTCATACTCTTCATCTTGTGCCTCTGACTCTGCCAGGAATTATAGGACGTCATATTCCAGCAGAAATAAACTTCACTTATATTTCACTGGAACAGTGAAAACATCGTATCACTTTCCTGAAAGTCTTAGTGGAGAGAACCATCCTGGTTACGCTCTTCATGAACCAAAACCAATAGATCTCATATTTTTCTTCCACAAGGCTCTCAAGAAAGATTTGGAATACCTTGTATTTGGCTCAGCTCAGTTGGCTGACAATGCTGATTTTCTCTCAGAGTTTTGCCGGCGATTCCAACTTATTCAGTTTCTAAATCAAATACATAGTGAAGCAGAGGAAGAAGTCGCCTTTCCAGCTTTAGAGGCAAAAGGAAAACTGCAAAACATTAGCCACTCTTACATGATAGACCACAAATTAGAAGTTGAACACTTTCACAAGATATCCCTCGTTCTGGATGAGATGTCTATATTGCATGTTTCTGCTTCTGACGTGGATTCAAATGCAGTGGATAATAAAATGCAGAAGCACCATCAGCTGTGCAGGAGGCTTCATGACATGTGCACATCAACCTGCAAGTTACTGACTGAACATGTTCATCGTGAAGAATTTGAGCTCTGGCCCTTGTTTAAAGAATGCTTCTCCATTGAAGAGCAAGAAAGGATTGTAGGATGCATACTTGGTAGAACAGAAGCAAAAATATTGCAAGATATGTTACCTTGGCTAATGGACGCTTTGACACAAGAAGAACAGCAAGTCATGATTACTCTATGGCGCCAGGTCACACGAAACACAATGTTTGATGAGTGGTTGAGAGAATGGTGGGAGGGATATGAGACAGCTAAGTTGGTAGAGGAGTCCATTGTACCTCCTTCATTGACTGAAGATCCATTGGAGGTTGTCTCTGCCTATCTGTGTGGATCGAGTGAACAAGAAGGAAGATGTTGTAACAAAAGTGTCAATTTTCCAGAAAAAGATTCCCATAGTGCTAATACCGAGCCATCGGAAAATAGTGAGGTGGGTTATAAGCCAAAAGGTCCCGGAGGTGACCAATGTATTTCCACTGATACAGAATGTACAAGACTTTGTGATGAAGGTAACAAGAAGAAATTACAAGAAGTTGAAAATGCCACAAATCAAATCAATGATATAGGTCACCTTTTGCAAAGAAGCCAGAAATCCAAGTACTGTGAGTGCCTGCTGACACTTAGTCAAGAGGATATGCAGGCTGCAGTAATAAAAATCTCCCGTGACTCTTCCTTGGATCCTCAGAAGAAACCACATATGATCCAGAACCTGATAATGAGGTTGGTCAATTCCTGTCCTAATTTTCATTCTGTTATTGTTTTCCGTCCTTGTTTAGGAGGAACATAGAATTCCAATTTATACATGTCAGAGTAAACTGAGTACACCATTGACATGGATATTCCTTATAAGAGGCAAAAATACCTTGGTATGTGTACAAGGTATTTGAGTATCATCAATTACCAATGTGTTCTATTGCTAGTGTAAGAGTCAAATCCTCTATGGCTACTAGGTTTCTCCTATTTGTTGAAGCAAGAGTGTCAGCTACATGATTTCTCCTATTTGTTAAGTTACCATCGATCCCAATTAACAAGAACTTAAGCTGTTAGGAAGGGTGTCCAACTATCAAGTGAAATCAACAACACGCACACATGTACACACACACACACACACACACGCACGCACACCCCTTTAGATGACAGCCTACAATACAACTTATTTAAGTCAGACCGCACACATGATCACAAAAATTACCAGAAACAGGGTTCAACAAGATTCTAACACAAGATCAAACAAAAACTGATACTATGTTAATGTATTGTTAATCCCAAAACTTAAGCTGTTAGGAAATGAGATAATAAGAATGTGTATGCAGCTCAACTTAACAACAAACACTAACGCTAATTGATAATTTTCTATAATCTTATTGATGGTCCTGATGACCAGATAATATATACTCTCTGCTTTTTGTAGCTTATTTGATTTCACTAAAGTTGCTAAGACTTGTTAGTGCTTTTTCTTACTTTGTAATATGTCTGTCTGCTACATGCCCGTGAAATGTGACATAAACTAAATGACAAACTTTCAATATTTATACTGTACCAGCCGTTGGATAGCCAGACAGAACTCTGAATTAACAGTTGCAAGTAATGGGAAAGAATTTCCTGGTCAGCATCCATCCTATCATGACCCTCTTGGAGTAACCTATGGTTGTAAACACTATAAGAGGAACTGTAAGCTTTTTGCTGCCTGTTGCAACCAACTTTACACTTGCATACGCTGCCATGATGAGATGGCTGATCATGAGATAGATAGGTATAAACATTATGAGTTATACAGTGCCTATGAATATTAATTTTATAGTTTTCGTTCTTGTTTAATTTTTTTCTGCTTATGCAGGAAATCTATAACAGAGATGATGTGCATGAAATGCTTGAAGATGCAGACAGTTGGGCCCACATGCTCAACTGCATCCTGCAGTAACTTTTCTATGGCAAAATACTTTTGCAGGATCTGCAAAATATTTGATAACGAACGGTGATTATCCTGATTGGCCTGCTTTATTGTAGCTCTTTTCTCATAAGGTTATATATAACTTGTTGAATGGGTGACTTTAAGTTGAACCATAGATGGTAGTATGCTGAATTGTATGCTAGGATAGTCTATAATCTCAGTACCTCATTAGGCGATTTTGTTCTATCTATGGACTTGTCACCACAATGACAACCTTAAAAGATTTAAGTATTTGGTATATAAAATTATGCTACCTTCCCATGCCAATTGGCTATCTTAATTTAAACTTACCGGTTCCAGATTTTTAATGGTTCTCATGAAGAAGCTGTTTAACAGGGTCATCTACCATTGTCCTTACTGTAACTTGTGCCGAGTTGGAAAGGGATTGGGTATTGACTACTTCCATTGCATGACATGTAATGCCTGCATGTCCCGTTCTCTATTGAAGCACACATGCAGAGAGAAATGCTTTATGGATAACTGCCCTATTTGCAATGAAGACATCTTCACCTCAAATTCTCCAGTGAAGTCCCTTCCATGCGGTCATTTGATGCACTCAACATGTTTTGAGGTATTTCCCTTTCATAATTTCTTGCCTTTCTCCCTAGAGGTTTTGCAGACTTCTTTAATGGTACTTCTGTTCCTGCTCCTAGGCCTACACCTTTACGAATTATACTTGCCCAATCTGTGGCAAGTCACTCGGGGACATGCAGGTCAGTTACCAAATACCTTATATAGTCTTTTGCAGTTTCCTTACTTTTAAATTGTTAGGATTGAAGTGGTGAGCTGACAATATGGAATTTATTTTGCCGCAATATATTCCTGCGTACTATGATTGGATGAGGGACTTCCAAGTACCAAGGAATTTTAGACTCAATTGTAAACACGCACTACAAGAACAGTACCAATGAACTACTTCGGCACTACAAAACTACTACTAGTACACTACAAATGCACTACAAAGACGCTAAACAAAGGACTTTCAAAATAACACCTTTCAAAGTTCCCTCAAATGTATTTCATCTAGCCATTTCAAGTCCCTCTATTTAATTTTTGCAGTGCAAACATGACAATTCTACCAAAGGTTCCGTGAAACTTTAAAGTCCCCCATCCAAATGAACTATTAGAAAAAGATATAAACTTAGGAAACAAAAACACTGGTCTACAAAATATGTGGAGGAAGATGTTAGAATTTTCACCAATCTTTGTGATTGTTCTTTATGATTTGAAGAAACTTTAACCATGTGAATTCTATGCAGACGTAACTCGAGTTTGTCTTGAGCTTAAGCTTTGAATTGTATCCAACTGAGTTGTGTGATGTCTTGTGGCCCTCGAACCATATGATTGTCTTGCAGGTGTATTTTAGAATGTTGGATGCATTTTTGGCTAAACAGGAAACTCCAGACGAGTACGCCGGCCAAACTCAGGTTTGTCATCCTATTTTTCTTGTCGTACTAATTAGCTTCTAATTGCATCCAAACCTAGATGTGCATTGATCTGCTAAACAAATTGCAGGTCATACTCTGCAATGACTGTGAGAAGAGAGGAACTGCTCCCTTTCACTGGCTTTACCACAAGTGCCCCTATTGTGGTTCATACAACACCAGGCTTCTATGATGCAATTCCAAACGGAACTGCTCCCTTTCACTGGCTTTACCACAAGTGCCCCTATTGCGGAGGCTTCTATGACGCAATTCCAAACGGTACCATGACTGTTTCAAAGCTATTTTATATGTAAATAAAAGCTCGTACTAGTATATAAATCTCACTAGTTATGAATATCTATTAAGTTTCCCCATTTTGAGGAATTTCATAAAATTTCCAATTAGAATTTGCCTTGTTATTAGATATATTACGCTATAGCTCGTAAAAGTTGAAAAACTAAGTAAAATATTCATTCGAGTAAACAATTTGTCAGTTATAAACTCAGGTGTAGAACATTGAAGCTAAAAGAAACAAGGAGCTCGGTATTGTGGGTTTTTATTAACAAAAACAAAAAGAAGAAAACAAAATTGTTGGTTTCTTGTGTGAATAATCAAATTCATAACACAGAGTTAAATGAATAATAGAAGAACAACAACCACACTGCTTTATCTAGTTTATGCTTACTGATCATCAGTTGACACTGGTTAGACTAAAGCATGCTGCAGCGTTCTTCAATGCATTCTCTGCATGCTCCATGGACCGTGTTGTGTCCTTGAACGATTCTTCCGAGCTGCAAGTCAATTCTCATCATTTAGTGAATTACAGTTGCATATCCACTTAGATTCAGCACTGCATCTCTTTGAATCGTAAAGATAAAAATTTGAACGGATACATAACCAAAGCGATAAAAAAAATGTACCTAGAATCATAAGCCTCTTTGGAATCAATGTATGACTGTCTATCATCGATGGTGTCAAAGAACGGATGCAACTCATCGTAATCTTGAACAACTTCAGGTTGGATAGAGAGCGGCTGAAGAACTCCGAGTTCGGATTGAATCGCCTCGGAATTATTATTGTTGTTGTTGCTGTTGTTAGTCATAAAAGGATTCGAAATCCACATCTGATTTCCAGCATCATTATTATTGTTGTTGTTGGTGTTGTTGTTGATGATGTTGTCTTTGGAGTCAATATTATAAGCAGCAGAGCTGTAGGCAGCATCACTGCTGTTAGAGTAAGACTGCTGTTGGTGCTGATCTATAGGAGCCACCGCGGTGGCATTGTTGTTATTATTGTGATTATAAGGGGGAGGATTGTGATTGAAAAGTGGGAGGGGATTGTTGGGCGGAGCCATCCCTAGCTCTAAGTGTGACGTCACGTATTCCGGCATGGACAAAATCTGGTGCTGGTGCTGGTGGTGCTGTCTGTACACTGCCAGCTGTTGATGAACGGCTTGGAGCTCTTCCTCCGCCACGAGGATTTGGTACTGGATCTGCCAGATCACCTCCCAGCACCCGTAGACCGGAAACTTGTCGCGCACGTTAGCTTGGTATATGATGGACCTCATGGCCTCTAGCTTCTGGCGAGGTTCGAGATTTTTAAGTATTTTCAAAATGTTGCTGACTCCGAAAAGCTTGTGTGCGTTTTGGAACATTTTGGGTTGGTCCGGCGGGAAATAGGGAGCCAAGGGGCACTCCGCCCTGCACTTCCTTCGCTGGTACTTGCACGCGGCGCAGGCCTGGCTGGTGGTGCCCTTCAGGGTCATTTTTTCGATCCCAAAATGAGATTGGAACCAATCAGAGAGCCGGAAAGGCGAAAAACCTCGAAAGCAGTTGGAGAGGAGAGTGATGCAGTGGTTGAGATTGAAGAGGATGAGGAGGAGAGTGGCGGTGAGTTGGAGGAGGAGGAGGGGGAGGAGAAATGGAAGTGGTGATATGGGGAACATTTTTTTGGATCTGAAAAGGTCTGGAAATGTGCGGATTTACTGGAAGCTGGGAGAGACTGAGTAAAAGAAAAGATTGAAGAGAGGAAGCGAAATTGGCGGGGAACTGTGAAGACCGTTGGGGACAAATGTTGGAATTTTGTAAGAGAAAAAGTGCTAAACTTTAGGGACTTTTTTTTTTTTTTAGTGGTCGTAGCCACTTCACACTGACCCCCTTCCTGAATGACGTGGCAAATCCCAACTTCTAGTTTCTAAATTTGATTTCTTTTGAATTTTGAGGTCACTATGGTGAAGTTACGACTCTATTGATACGTGGAACATGTCAAAATTATTAAACTATTATCTTGTTTGTCATGTTATGTAGACAAATTTAAATTACATTGAAGGAAACCGAACTCTGACTAGCAGTTAGACAAGTCTCTAGTCAAATGTATGTTAGGGCCTCCTTTGCTTTTGTAAGATTTAGAGAAATATCACGAGTCCATTGCCCCAAATAAGAGAAAGTCGGCCTTAGTGATCTAACAATGCCGAGCAGAAGTGTTGTTTTACTTTGGGGATAACATATCTTCCCCAAGAGTAAGAACTTAGACCTCCTCTACAAGAGAGTGAATACCGCCAAATCGTAGTTCTCGTAAAAACAAAGTTATGGGGAGGATAAAGGGCAATATATCTTCATTTTTAACCTAATTGTAGTATCCAAATGAAGCAACAAATTTACTGTGATCCGCAGTTCCAAAGACCCAAAAGGGGAAGGGCCATAAGGTGATCTATACTATACAAAAACCTTTTCAAAACTTGGGGGAAATTTTATATAAAAATTAAAAAAAGTCTTAAGCAAACACCTTAATTTTCTTAAACCTATATTCCCCAGTTACAACTGTTACATACTCTGAGAACCAACTGGTAATCAAAGCCACTTATCGAAACGGCATATAGTACGCTCCTTAAATTCGCATAAATACGCCCAGACAAGCCATAAATACGCATATATACGCCCAGAGAGGCTGTAAATTCGCATACATACGCCCAGACAGGCCGTAGTAGTTGTTGCTGCCTTCTTCGTCGAAGAGTCCAACCTTAAGGAAAGTTGCAGGACAGTGACCTGATTGTGCTGAAGACTATTCGAAGGTAAACGTACCAAAAGCTTAGACTTTTCGGCTCTTCGATGGTGAAACTCTTTAGATACACGGTTCTTCGTCAAGGACCAGCTGCTCCCACAAAAATTCTTGATAATATCACAAAACTGTTAATTCTATATCAGAACTCTGAACTTCGACCGGAACATTTATATCCTTCTTTTTTCTGAAACTGACGTTGCATACTTTACTGTCTAACCGGAAGGATGGAATGCGTTTGCTATGAACAATTCCTCGTGGTAGACGACGAAAGGATGTTACAACACCAATGCTCCCTTGCGAAGTCTGAAAACGTAATGAGTTCCAGAAAAAGCCTAGTTTACAGCTTCAAAGAAAAGAACCTGTGGTTGCAAATGCCCTCTTTCACACATGTTAAGAACATCAACCCAGCCACCAATCACCTGTAGACACATCAGACACAAATTATAACGAAGGCGGAAAGAAGAGCAAAATAAGGCATGATTTACACTAGAATAACCGACTTTACCTTGACAGTTTTATCATCGTACATAATCCAGCATCCACCGTCATGACTATAGGCAAAGCAATGGTAATGTTGTCCATAGTAGCAAACCTAAAAGTAAATAGTAGATATGAGATAAAACGAGAGAGCGGTATCCATAAATTCTTGCTGAGATTCAAAAGTTATGCACCGATAACATAGGAGCCAGTTTCCAATTAAACAAACGAAATTGGATATATTAATAATAAAAAGGCCAGAGGAATCTAAGTTTATGGATAAGAAGTGTAAGCCGTTGTCATTTCACAACCAGAGGAAAAATACGCAATGCAGGTTGCATTTTGGGAAAACAGAACGCTACTATGTGCATGACAACAACATTGAGGGTTATCCAAATATGCATACCACAGAAACCAAGTTGTGCGTGGTCTTTGGATCCAGGCCACGATAAAGGACGCTGATATCTATCTCAGTATTAAGAGCTGCCAATGTTGCTTTGATGTCATCAGCACTCTCGCATGTCTTCTGCCAGCCCAGAACTGCACGAAGAAACAAAAATGTTGATGAGTTTTCAGGGTAAGCCAGTTTCCCTCTTTACAAACATAAGTGAGCAATGAATATTCTCATGATAAGTCTTCAAGTCACCTGTTGTGAAAACATGTGGTGGGGTTGAAAGAATGTGATGGATATGGTTGAGCTTCCCGCAGCCACCAGCTTCAGAATCACAGGCTAACTGGTGATTCATCTCCACATGATTTAGAAGCTCGTCATAGGAGCTTTCTGCACACATAACCTGAATAGCAAAGAAAGATAAAAAGAGATAGATGCAATCAGTTACGACTGCCTGAAACACTAACAAGTTGCTTAGACTAAAAATTTCAACCATCAAGAAAATAAACAATCATAAAAATTGTTAACTGATACCTTCATTGTTCGCAGAGCACTGGCATTTATGTTATGGAAGAAGGAAGTATACTTGAGATGTCTGGACTCCAAACCACAATTGTAGCAATTCATTCGTTCGAAAATGTCCATGCCAAAGATGGAATGCACTATACAAGCATTGTTTGAACAATCCCAAGACCCTGGACAACCACTTTCCACTGATTCAGCATCAGAAACACTTGAACCAGGAGTAAATGACCGGTGAAGACAATCAAATATGACCACCAAAACTTCAGAAGCATCATTCATCTGAGCCTGTACGGTTGCTAAAATGTTAGTACCAGCTTCCAAAAATGAAGATAAATTCATGACATATGAGCCAAATATGACTTCAGAATAATTGTAGATTTGTACGAGAGGCAAGGGATACAATCAAATTCTCTAAATATACCTCCTGGAAGAAATTACTTTCTGGATACAGGTTGCTTAAAGCTATTCTCAAAGAAGTAGGGGCAACTGCTTCTCTACGAGTATCTGCAGATGCATTGCTCAGAGCAGTAAAGATTTCATACAATGCACAGACAACACAAGGACTCCCCACATGAACGTGCTTTGATGTTGATCTCCGGAGTAACTCATCTCGAAACAGTCTAATATGCCATAAAGACTGCAATAACAAGATTAAAAAGCAATGTTTCAATATCAATACGATGCTCGGGAAAAATGAACCAACAACATAAATTGACAAGCACTCTGTATTAATAGACCTGTATAATAACATTCAGAAAGCAGTTGTATTCACCAACTTCATTCTTTAACCCTGTGCCAAATATATCGGTTTCATTCGCATTTTCATTTATGATGTCATTGTGTAAAACACCACTATCTACATCTGGAGATATTCTTCTGGCCATCCTCAAATTTGAAACTACAGGAAACTTCTGACGCTCTTGGAATGTGTCTGCGAAATAGCATGAATAAAAAAGGTCAGACAGTTGCACAAAATATTATACCATATGGTAAGTGCTCAGAGCCTCACCTGATGGAAAAAAATGCATCAGTGAGACGGCTAGTAGAAGTACAACTTGACAAGGTTTAGCGTATTTTTATTAGACTGCATTATACACTCTCCACAAGCCCTCAATTTATCATCAAGGCCCTCTATTAATCATACTTAGATCACATACTTGCTGTCAGTATATCTTTTGTTATTCATGCATGATTCCGAACCAGATTATTGCACAGAATTATATTTCAAGACGAAGAAATGCTCTCAATACCTACTTAATGCTTTTTCCTGATGACAATAAATAAAATTAGTGCAAAATCTACCAGAGATGACAGCTTTTTGATTTTCCTAAAAAGTCAAGGTTACTGATCTGACTCACTTATAGTTGAACTCTAACATGAACAAATCTGAGACAACTTATCTAGTTCATTCATAGCCCATCCGACAGACTAGTCAAACAAATATGGAAATCATCATCTGTTAACTACAAGCATGGAGGTGGAATTTCTTCCTCACATACCTCAGCCCTACCATGGGTTGATCCTAGACCTCCTCTTTATTATAAAGGGGTACCATTGTGACAACCATGGTCAGAGGTTTATACATGTAAAGAATAAGTAACATAACAAAGAGACCACATAAATAAGAGAATAATTTTACCTAGGCTTTGGCGTACGGCCTTTTTAAGGTCAGCTTGGAACCTTTCTTCGTCAACTTCCTCTGCTCGTTGCTGTCTCAATTCCTTTGTTCCATTGTCTGCCAAAACAGTATAACCGGTTTTCACTTAACAAAACTCATGCTCATATTAACGCCAAATTTCCCCCAAAAAAAAAAAAAGATAGATGATCTTTGGTCATATTTGCAGAGCAGTAAAAACAGTGTGTTCAAATGAAAGAACATAAACTTCATGCTAATGAGACCATAGGACGAATCACTACGCATATAAAATTCTAATTTTATTATAAACTACTAGGCAACATTTTGGATGAGCAAGTAGAGATGAGGTTACCAAATAGAAATTCATACTACAAAAGAAATATCTTTTTATAAAGATATTACCAACAATCTTAGGTAAACATTTTCCCTTAACTATAAAATGAGAATACGCGAAAGGACAAAATTGGCTAGTCAACAAGCAAACAATGACAGGGCCACTAATGTTGACATTGTTCAACGTACTGTCAAAATAATCAATCATCGAAACTAGAGTGGAAACAGTGGAAACCATGAAGGATATGCAAAACTTACTGTTGTTGGTAAGAAGATTGTCATTTGAACCCTCCACACTTGACCTCCCAACTTCAACATTTTCCTTTCCAGATGACAAGCCTTGAGACTTTCCATCAAGCACTTTTGTGGAACTCCTCTGTCTTCGGTTTTTCCTTCCTGTCCGTCGATCAGAAGGCAAATAACCATCATCTTCTAGAATTCCTCCATTTGGCAGGCCTGCTCAAGAAAATACACAATGACAACATCTCCTATTATTAAATTAACCCCAATCTCATACAATGAAATCCTACACCAACCTTGGTTAACTTTAGCTTGATGAGCACTAGAAACGGTAGGAGAATTGACTGGCACTGCAGAAACATTTACCAGGTTAACAGGCACGCCTTCTAAATTGTTGGTGAATCCAGTCTTCTGTGCCAACTGCTCCTAGAAAACATTTTCATTAGTTTTCCTACTTTCTCTAAATATCCTCTAATTTAGACAGTATTCCTCTTCAAATATCTTTAGTATTCAGTTCAATATACCAATTATTTATTAAATTTAACCTAGAAAGAAGGAAACAGATACGAGAAGGGCACAACCTAACAATGATTACCTGGACAGAACGCTTGAATGGCTCATTAACATCTTGACCATTAGCACAAGGCTCCAAGTTAACATCATGCGGTCCCTCCACCACCTTCTCTGAATGCAATTGAGTAGATTTCTTATTTTGCTCAGCAAGGTGCTTCTGCTTAGCTTCCTTTTCAATTTGTCTTTGAAACTTTAATGTTTCTTCCAGCTTTCTTTCCTCTTCTTCAAGTTCAATTCTCCGTTTGCATTCCTCTTCCAGCTGTTTCAAGTCATTGCCATTCAAAGAAATAACCAGCTCAGAATCTGGAAATGCACTATCAGATGCCCCTGGAAAGGAACTGCAGCAAGAGACGCATCAGATATACATCAAAAATAAACTATAGCCAGTACCCAGCAATTATAATGGAAGGATAACATTATGAGGATAGAGTCAAAACAAATGTGCATGTTAGGAGCAAGGAGACATACAGCTCAGAAGTCTCATCATGATGATAGTACTCGTCCGAAACCCCACTACCCTACAGAAGTAAGAAAAAAAAAATCGGATATAATGATGTCTTCATGGATTTGTAACATACATATAAACACCACAAAGAAAATAACAACCAGAAAACAGGATTAAAACCTTTGAATCTTTTGCTTTTCTGAACTCCTTGTTCTTCTTCTTATCCTTTGTTTTTTCCTGTGAATGTCTCAAATTATCGTTTCCTCCTCTGACACCTTTCTTAGAATCAAGTGCAAGTTCTGCCAAAAATGCTTCCCTTGCAGCATCGGACTTTTCTGTGGCATCTTTCTCAGCCAGATCCTCCAAATGTGCCTATAGATATAGACACAAGAATACATACTGTTAAACTCAGAAGCCTTAAACATGGCACAAAGATTAAATTTGTTTAATACATACCCGCAGGTATGACTTCACTAGAGGCAAGAGTATCGACCGATAATCATGGGCAGAAATATGTTCAAGCTTAACTTCCATTTGCTGCATT